CCTGCTCACCCATCAGTAGGACGGGATCTTCTGCACCATCCCCAAGGCCTGAGTCTCCCACAAGGCACAGGCCCAGCAATCAGACCAAAGGAGTTCCAGGCCAGTTCAACAATACAACCTCCTAGGAGAGCCACCAAAAGACACATAGGAAGTAACAGATTCCGCTGTCGCTGAGCCTCTCCAGGGAATAGAGACCAAGTAACGATGGACATGCCCAGCCCACACAGGAGGCACTGCCAATTCCACCCACCCCCAAACCACCAGTTTGGGACCTTACTGTATTCCTGGAGCCCCAAAAGTTACCTGTGCAGAGGCTGGGAGGCTGGGTGTCCCCTGTCTCCACAGCTGATGCCATCAGCATCCACTGCTCTGGGAAGAAGAGACTGTGCACAGCCAGCCTATTGCAGGGGCACTGAGGGTATCAAGAGAGCAGAGGCCCCCAGTGTGGTGCTTGCTCTATGCCTTGCAACCCTGTGTCCCTGCTTCCCTTGTCCCCAAGTTCAAGTGAGTAATGTCGAACCCCCAGCTGTATCATCCAGTGGGGACCCTTCAGGGTTAGGATGTCATCAGGGCTGTCCAAGGCTCCCCAGCCCCACCTCTGTGGCTGTCACTACCCCCAGCTCCTGGAGGGTGCCCTTCCTGAACTCTCCCTGCCATCTGAGACCCCTGATATCTCTACATGTGCCCCTCAGTCCTGCTTGGTCACTGTCACCCTGTTTCATGCAGAAATGGGGAGAAAGCTGCTCTCCAGCCTGGAGCCTGCTGCATGGTCCAGGTTTCTGAGTAGGGCTGGTTCCCTGCATCTCTCCAGGGCCACCTGGGTTCTTACTCTACACAGAAGCCCTCATGAACACAGGTGTGAGCTGAGCGGGGCTGACAGCGCACCCAGCCTGGATTTCTCAGATAGCACCGATCGGAAGCTGAAGTTCAGAAGAGGAGAGAGCAACGTTAAAGAGACAGATTGGAGAAATCGCTGTATAGGTGACAAAGACCATTCCTGAAGGGCATGGGCTTGAGTAAGACCACGTCAATGTCTGAACCGGGCCAGTGTCTTGAGTGGGGAGGGTAGGAAGAAGGGAGGCCACCGTGGTCCTGTCAGCGGTGTGGAAATGATCGACAGTCAAGTCCTCTCTGCGCAGACCCTTGGGGTGGAAGGGGCTGTGGCCTCGGACCTTGCACTGTCTGGGGAGCAGGAGACTCCTGCTGAGGAGGAGCAGGCTGCACAGACCAGGGCTCATGGGAGAATAAACTCTCATTCACAGGTCCCTTGCTGCAGTGCTGAGCTCCTAGGACAGGGGGTGCTCAAGCTGCTCTCCTCTGACACCATGATCCTGGCTTGCTTTTCTATTCACCCCAAAGCTCCTGAGCCCATTCTTCTTTGTGTTTCCCTGGGAGGTTGGGGGTAGCCATTCACAGATCCCCGGGTCCTGTTGGCCGGCTGTTTAGACTCCCTCTGCCCATGGCCCTTTGAAGGAGTGGAACCCACTCAATTCTGCAGAAGGGGTGCTCAGGCCTGAGCCTGGACCAGGATCTCCTTCCACTTCCCTTCTCTGGGACTCAGTTTCCCCTAGTGTGAAGTGGCTGAGTAGGACTCTCAGGGTTCCATGTCAGATCTCTATGTCTGGCTCCTGTTGGCTCCATCGGGTCCTTGTGCAAAGTGAGTGAACGAACAAGGGATTCACAGGATGGCCAAGGTCACCTCCCCATGCTGGTGTTGCTGAGGATCTCCCAGAGCCCAGGCCCCAAAGCTAAGGGAGCTGAGTGCAGCTCAGTGTGGGCAGCTCAGGCCCCCTGTCCTGCTGCCTTTCTGGGAAGTGGCAGGGGAGGGGGCACATGGAGACCTTGGTGCAGGACCTGAGCCTCTGGGGACCTGGGGAGGGGCTGTGTGGGGAGGGGGGGCTTGCTACTGCCTGAGGGTGAGAAAGAGCTCAGGCAATGTGCCCCAGCACATTGACACAAATGTGCACGTCTGCACACACAAATACATGCACACACGCACACACATATACAGACATGCACACTCACAGTCACACATATAGACATTTGCACACATGCACATGTGTACACATGCATGCACACAGAAACACACCCACACGCACAGAGACATGCAAACACATACACACATGCACACAAACCTGCACTCTCACAAACATGTACACATGCACACTCATAGACACACATAAAGACTTGTACATGTGCCCACATGCCCGCACACATACACACTCACAGATACACATAGACATGCACACATACCCACACACTTGCACATGCATACATACAGATACATACACTCATGCCCACACACACACATACACACAGACACACTCATGCACACACCCCCTATGTCATCACATCAGGCATGTGATGTGTTCCCAAGAACTTCCTGAGGGAAATCAGATTTGTCTCAGAGAGATTCGATTTGATGCAAAGCAGATTCCATCTGGATTTTCATGTGAAGAGCTGACTCCTCTCCAATGCACCCTGCTTGCTGGCATCTCAGTGTGGACCAGCTCAGTCTGGTGTTTGGCTCTCTGCAGGTGCCAGGCCTGGGTTCTCAGCACTGGCTCTGGCTGTAGTGGAGCTGGAAGGACAGTGCTGTCACCTCCAGGACTGAGCTCTACCCGCGGGACCTGGAGCACATGGGTGAGAGGCAAGGGCAGTGTGCAGCAGAGGTTGTGCCCGCATGGGTGAGAGGCAGCCGGAGAGATGCACAGGAGGTCTGGAGCTCAGTAGCACCAGGAGCCTCTGAGGGCCCTCCCTGAGCTCCCACTGTTGAACTCAGTCCAGGGAGCAGGGTGGCCAGACTTACATTCGGATTCCAGACACTGGGTTCACTGTGAGTTTCCTACAAACACCTTGCTTGTGGAGGTGCATCCAGGTGAGACCAGGCCTGTACCCATGGGGATGCAGACACAGCCTGTGCCTTAGGGAAATCTCAGTAGTTTCCTAAGTAGTGAACCACCACTAAGGACAGTGGTGACACTGCCTCAGTGGTGACACTGCCTCAGTTATGACACTGCCTCTCAGGACTCCAGTGCCTGCCTGACAGGGTCTTGTGCTTTCACGGTCCTCGCTGTCCTGAGGTTAGAGCATGGTCCACTGCAAGGTGACCTCCCCTCCAGAGAGGCCCAGTGACTTCTGGGATGAATGGTTGGTGCGCAAGGTATATGGGGAGGGGACTGACCTAGGACTTCCTGGGAGCAGAATCTGTAGCGCTGCTGCTGGGGCAAGTGTGGGGCATGTCAGCACTGTGTGGCTAGGTCAGGCCTGGTGTCACCATGACTAGAAAGTTCTTGTGGAGGGCGGCTCAGCTGGCAGAGTCAGGCATGGCTGTCATCTCAGAGTGGACCAGGTGCAAGCGAGTGGAACATAGGGTGAGGGGGTCAGAGGCTGAGGACGCCCCTCCCAAGCCTCCTGCCTGAGATGTGACAGCCAGGTGGGCAGTAGGGACCACTATCTCTTCCTCACCTCATCCCTCACCTCCTGCTCAGACATCCCCACAGCAGGGACACCGAGTCCACTCCATCCAGCAACGTGGCTTCCACTCTCTTGGATGGACTCCAGCTGGAAGCTGGGGTGCATCTGCAGACACATGCAGAGGCAGCACTCTGTGAGGACCCAGGAGAAGACAGGGTCTGCCAGCCAAGGAGAGAGGCTCAGGGCAAACCCACACTGCTGCACCTTGATCTTGGACTTCTGGCCTCTAGGACTGTGAGAAAACACTTCTGTCACCTAAGCCCCCCGGTCTATGGCAGACTAAGACAGCCAGGATGTCACCCCTACCCACCCTGGGGCATGAGATGTCCCTCAAGGGCCCTTCTGACTTCTTAGCCCCTAGACCCCAAGAAGACCCAACCTCATCTCCCCATCTTCCCCACAATACACAGCAAATGAAGGGCAAAACTGTTGAGTGAATGAAAGGAAACAGACCTTCGGCCAACAGAGCTTTCAGCCCTGGGTAAATGCTGCAAATTGTGTTTTGAAAAATGACAGGAGACCCAGTCCTAGTATTTATGGCATGCTCTCACGCTTCCGGGGAGTGGTGCTCTCTGCTCTTAAATGTATGGGCCTGGGATGCAGTCGCAGACCGACTGGGAGATTGCAAATGGCTGTGAGCTAATAGCATGTGCGGGCGGAGGGGAGGTGGCGTGACCCTCCGCCCAGGGTCAGACAAGAGAGCTCCCCACCCAGGGAGGAGTGCTGTGCTCTAAGAAGTGTTTCCTCCCCATCTTCCTCTTTGCAGGGAACTCAAAGTTCAGGATGCACCAGCGTGTCCTGGCTGCACTCACTATTCTGACAGGGCTATGCACCACTGTGCCTTTTCTAAGCCATCTTTAAATTGACTCCCTGTCCCCCGAGGCGCACACAATACCAAGCTCATTCTCTTGCCATCCTTTGGCCTGGGGTAAATTGTTTGGGAACAATCATCTGGCCCTCTCTGGGGCTTGGAGAGGTTCATATTTCTGCTTGAGCCCTTGAAGAAAGGCCTGGGCTGAGGGGGAGTTGAAGCGAGAGGCCGAGCCTCCCTACAATCCCTCAGCCACCCGACTGTGGTTTTATCCAAAAGGTAAGTGTCCTTCCCAGCTCTGAAAGGCTAAACGTGGAGAGGGGGCGTTAGACTAAGCCTGGCCTGAGGCCTTGACACCCAAGGCCTGACCTGAGGGTGGCCTGCCCCAGAAGGGACTGAAGTTCTTCAGAGGGGACAAGTGAGCATCCCATCTGCCCATCTGCAGGAGGGGAGCAAAAGTCCTCCCACAGTGTAGATTTCCCCAGGACAGAGAGAGTACGGGTCAAAGTCAGCTGTACACTTGGGCTCCGTGTAAGGATGGCCCTGGGAGGAGCTTGCACGCCTGGGCCCAGCAGCGGCACCCTAGCCCGACTTCCCTCCACCAGCAGTGGGTGACTCTCTTGACTCACTGCTCGGGCTCTCTGGCCCAGGTGAGGTGAGATGAGGACACCAGAGAAGAAGAGAGCAGTGATTTCAAACTCAGGTTCTGACACTGGGAAAATAGTTGCTTTAATAAAATAAACACACCAGACAGTTTCCAGTAACCCGCCCCATTTTTCTCAGTGGAATAGCAGAGTCATGTGCATTTCCTGTGTGTCTTGTCACCCACAGGTCAGTGTCCAGCATACATGTGTTTTTGTAGCCTGTCTAGAGTCCTCCCACGGGCCACAGGGACAGTTTGGGGTATGGAGCACTGATGGGCAGAGGCCCCTTCCTCAAATGCCCTGGGGAGAGGGGGCCCCCAAAGGCCCTGATCATTTCCACTGCTGGGTACCACATAAGGTTGCATGCCAGAGCCCCTGCTGCAGCCTACCCATCTGCAGACCAGCAGAATATTCTCCCCTTCTCATCGCCAACCAGGAGCTTCGGCTGGTTCCTGGGGAGGAGAGAAGACAGCAAGTGTTGGAGGTAGCAGTGGTTGTGGTGTGTCCAGCCAACCTGCTGGAAACTGCAGCGTGGGGCTCAGCCAGGCCTCAGGTACCCCAGAAGCTGGGGAAGGAAGAGGGAGGGCTGGAAGCTTGTTTGTGCGTGTGTGTGTGTGTGTGTGTGTGTGTGTGTGTGTGTGTTGGGGGGTGGGGGAGTTGAGTGGTGAGGGTGGTGGCTCCCAGAGCCTGGAGAAGCAGCTGGAGATGGCAGGCCTCTGTGTCTCCTGTGCCAAGACTGCCGCTTGTCCAGAACCAAGCAGAACTCAACAGCAAATTCTTCAGTGAAGACTGCAGCTCAGGACTCTCCTTCTCTGTGTCCTGCCCAGCCATCCACCCACTCACCCAGGTGGGCAGCCAGGACCCTGTGCTGTTCCCACCACTGAGGATGCCAGTCCAGCCCACCCAGGCAGGGAGGGAAAAGGGAGGCAGCTCTGGAAGGTCAGCAGCTCCCAGCCCACATTTCCGGGGGTGCGTGGTGAGCTCACCATGGGAAGTGCGCCACAGGTCACTGTGCCCGCTAAATAGCCATTGAGTGCCATATGACCACTGGCTGCCCTAATTGGTTCAGAGCCTCAGACGAAGGTTCTGTTAGTACAGGATGGCATTACACCAGGTGTTACCATTAGCAGCAGAACTCAGGAAAAAGTCACAAAGCAACAGACCTCTGTCTAACCAGTGCCTTACTGGGCCTGATGGACTTTCTGGGGTGGCCCAGCGCCCTCTGCTGGATGCCTGAGAAACCAGGCTGCGCTTACCTAGAGGCGGCCAGAGCTGTCACCGCAGGGCTGGCCTTGCTGGGCTTTCCTGTCAAAGCCAGATTGACATCTAGCTCCCGGCACAGGGCGAGGTTCTTCTGCCACTTGTGACCTGGGGGGAGCATGCAAAGGAACGGTTAGGACACCCAGGTGCCTTCACACCCGAGCCTGCATGCGTCCACACAAACACATACACACATATTTATATTTGTGGTCAGCAACTTGCTAAATTGAGGGGGAAACTATATTTAATCTTGGCCTGTGCTGTTGCAAAGAGGGCTGTCCCAATTTAATTTGCAGGCTGTGATAGTTACATGTGCTGACGGGCCTCCGATCCACTGTGTACCAAATTGGATTTGTGTATTATTGCCTTCTAAATTGCGTGCCTAGTTCAGCAAAATTGTTCATCAGTGTTTACTGGCTTTATGCTTAATAAGATGCCCCACAATACCTTGCTGCCAGGATGTAATGCAGCCCATAATTGCCTAGTAAAAATAAATTACATAAAGTCGGCATTATCAACTTATCTAAATCCTCTCACGCCACAACCAATAATTAAATGCTGAGAACGTTTTTTCAAAAAATATAACTCAATGATTGTTACTTCACTCATCTTAATGACTGCATTTGGGGATGGACAGTAATTCCTTTGACATGAAGGGAAGAAAGCAGCTAGGTATGGCCCTGCGAGGCCACTTCCTTGGACCTGGGGCCAGGAGCTGCTGCATCCCCAGCTGTCCTGGTGTGGCCACCTATGTGTGCAGCCAGGCTGTGCTGGGAGTACATGGTGGGTTCAAGAGGGGGAACCACCATAAATTGGAAACAGACATTTGCAAATTCTTGCATAAGTCCAAACAAGCTTTTCCCAAGCTCTTTTTATGTACCAGATTGAGTCCAAATCTAGGAGATGATTTCTGAAATAATCTGTACTCATCTGGGTTGGTCTTTGCTGCAAATGACAAACAAACGAATTCCAGGCAGAAATTAGATTTCATCTTCCCGTAAACGCAGTATCTTCAATATCATCAAAGATCTCCTTTCTAGCCCCTTAAGACATTTGACGGGATGCAATAAAATATACGCCAAGAGGACATATGTGCAAATATCCACGTGTCATGCTCAATCCTAATCCCTTTCCACCAAAACAGTTTTGAGCAATATTATAAGAGCAACATGCTTCCTTGCTAAAGACCTCCAGTGAGTTCACTTGCAAATCTGCACACAGATTTGTTGACTCTAAACTGCGGCCCTATGTGACTCTTTTTCTCCTATGCCAGGCCTTTGTGCCATTTCATCCCCACCCTTCACTGAACAACAGTTGCACCTCAGCCATCAAAGTGCCTAGGCAGCAGTAAGCTGGGGTGGGGACATAGAGTAGAAGAAGGTGTGGATCAGGGACTCCCTGTGACTTGAAACCATCTTGTAATTTCCCTAATGTCATCAGCTGCTGCATTTAAGGAGAAGACACTCCTAGCAGTGTGAGAAAATGACAGTGATGAACTGAACTGTGGAGTGGATTCTGATCTGTGCCTATTACTTTCCTATCATCAGATGAGAGAGGCAGTAGAGGAAATATCTCCAATTGACAGAGGGAGATCAGGGCCAGGCAAGGTGCTGGGATGGAGCTGGGCTTCAAGCCTTATTGTCCACATATTCACTGGATTCCCAGGCAATGAACCCAGCTTCACCACCATGCTGATGCTGGTGGATGAGGATGCATGGCCTTGTCCAAAACCAATGAAATGGCTCCGAGGTGACTTTTCTTTATCTGTCTACCCATCCACCTATCCATTCATCTATCCAGCCATTCATCCATCCATCTACCTATCCCCATCCATCCATCCATCCATGATGGGCTAAGCAAATGCCTTTAGCCTACTGAACTTCAATAGCTTCAGAAATGGGTAAGTGGTGGCCAGACCAAGATGGCATACAGTCTCATGCAGGCATATTACAGAACCATACCCTAATCAGGCTAGGGATAGTCCTCCCAGTGCACCAATTTAGGGGATGGACCTTTGCTGTCCAAAGAAGTGCTGAGTTTCTGAGACCATACCACCCCCACCTTCTCTTCTCTCAACTGAGATGGGATGGGATGGAAGGGATGACTCCTCATGGCCTCCATGTTCCCCTCCCTGGAGAAATGAGGATCAGAGGGCTGAGTATAGCTCTAGGTCTTTGTGACGTTAGTGCTCTGGATCACCCTAGACTGTCACATGGGTCCCTGGATGATGAAGGAAGAGGTTCCCAGCATAGAGCCTAGGACAGGGTAGGGGCTGAGCCATGAATGAATGGTCAAGTGAATCAAAGAGGTGTGCACTACATGGTAGAGGCGAACTCATTGAAAATGACTGCTCTTTTCCAAAGATACCCTCAAGAGTTGAGAAATGCTCTTGTGGGGGTGATCATAGTTCTGGGAGGTGGAGCACACAGACGAGGGTGTCCCTGAAGCCTAGGGATGACAGAACTCTTGCTTCACCATCATGGGTTCCTTGGATTGTGGGACCCGAGAAAGATGTCTTGGTTCTGGTCAAGACAGAGCTGGGAGAGAAGGTGGTTGTGCTGAAGGAGGTGATGTGGCCAGGGCACTGGACAAAGGCGATGGTGAGTTTGGCTCTGTGCTCCCGGTGGAGAGCTCAGGATGATGACTATGTGGCAGTGTCTGGGGAAGGTTGTCCTGCAGTGGTTGTGGTTGCTATGGTGGCAGCAACGAGAAGATGATATGCTTGCTGAGACCCTTTGGGCAAATTCCTGGCTGGTCTGTGCCTTAGTTTCCTTCTCTCTCTCAAATGAATGTTTTGGTAATAGGACTGCACAGGATGACTATGAGAAAGGAGAATGAGCTGGAAGGATCTGTCCTGGTGCAGCCAGTAACAGTGGCTGTGAAGGTCACCAGGTTTTCTCATATGGGTCTCATCTGCCACCACCCAGAGGGGTTTTGCTTGCAGAACAGTGGTTCTCTTACTTTGGGGCACCCAGAATCCCAAGCTATATCAATTCTAACACCTCTTAGGCTTTTCCAGGGGCCTAGGCTGAGTAGCAGGATGGGAACCCACACTTTTAACATGGCCCCTGGTGATGCTTGAGCAGATGATCCCCAGGACTGCCTTGAGGGCCTTGCTGAGCAGAGCCTGCTGGGTAGAGCCCATGTCCATGAGGTAGATGGGCATGAGCAAACAACTGCTGCAACCTGGGGAAGCATGGGGCTTCCTCCTGAAACTCAGGCACCCTGACACCCACCACACCACTGTCTACATGGCCATGGAACCCCAGGATCACAGTCTCTACAGGGCTGAGGTCAGGACTTGCTAGGACTTCTCCATACCAGCAACTTACAGTAAACAAACCATTCTCCCATTGTCCCCAAACCTGGTGGCAATCCTGATCTCCATGGCTTCCCTAAGCTTTGCAGCCCTGGGTGGCACAGGGCAGGGTGAGACGAGAGGAAGGCTGTGTATGGCAAGGCAGGTACCTCTGGGGCTGTGAGGCCGCATGCAGGGCTCCTCTGCTGCTGCCTGCTGGGGAACAGACATCTTCACATCCTCAGTCTTCCAAATCTGTCCAGAAAATAGAACATGTTAATGGGCTGGGGGCAGGACTGTGTCTGCAGGCTCGAGTGGCCCAGCTTCTCCATCATGCCTGGGGTCCCCTGAGGGAAGTGATGGGCATGATATTTATTATCAGCAAATGCTTGCTCAGGGCTCCAGCTCTTGTCTGTTTAGGTCACAGTTGGAGCTTGGAAGGGTCCATGCCCACCCCGGGGTCCCTAAGTCCCTCTCCTTCCCTGCTCCCATCACCTGTCCTTTGCAGATTCCACAGCCCTGAGCTAATGCCAGGAGGGCCCCAATACACCACCCTGGCCTCCAGGTCCTCTGTGTCTGGCCCCTCCTGGGGGTTCAGGCTAACTGCACAGGGCTCCTCTGACCTACCTAGGTCAGTCCACACCCCAGCAGCCTGAGCCTTTGTGATCTTCATCATGTTCTAGCCCCAGGCCCCTGGCTTTTCCTTATGCTCAGGTCTCACTGACCTGCACCTCCCCTGAATCTCTCTGTAGAAAAGGAACACATGCTCGCTTTGGGCCACACTGCGCTTGTCCATTCCCTAACCAAAGAGTCATCCCCTTCTGAGACTCCAAGCCTGCAGAACCTGAGGCCAGGGCAAGGCTAAATATGGTTGTGCATTTGGCAGATGTTTCCTTTCATGGATCATGAAATTCTAAGGACAAAGGATCATGAAATTCTAAGGACAGCTTCTTGAGCAAACCTCTCATTCCTCCTTATCTTCACTCACTGCTTCATCCTCCTGCCATTTCCTGTGGCTTGTTCTTCTATCTTCCTCTTGTTCTTAGCTCCCAGCACCTCCTCCCTCTCCATGGCTCTCCTCAGAGTCCATGGCACTCTTGATTACCTCAACCATGGCAGGTGCTATGCACATGCCATTTCCTGTTTGCCTTCTCTTCTTCCTTTTCTGGAATATGAGTATCCTGATGAAAAGTGCCTGTTTCTCATGAATCTCTGCATCTGCAGTGGCTTTCGTGGAGCACTTGGCATGGAGCCAGGGTTCAGCCAGCATTAGATTGGTGGGTGGGTGGGTGGATGTTGCTTGAGTTCATAGTTGGGGTACATACTGGTGGGTGGGTGATGGATGGATGGATGGATGGATGGATGGTTGGAGAGATAGTTGCATAGGTGGGTAGATAGATTAAATTAGTGGAGGGATAAATGGATGGGTAAGTTGGATTGAGTGAGTGCCACATATATCTCTTCACCATTGAGCTATAATCTACTGAATTTGACCATTCATCATTCACACCTTTGTAACAGTCTTTATTATATACATGCAATATCATATATATATATATATATTTAATTTTATTTATTTGCTTTTTGCCTAGAAAGAGCTTTGCCTTTTCTTTTATCTGCTGCAGGCACCTGGACTGGAAGTGCCCCAAATGCAAACTGAAGGTTTGAACCCCTGGAGGAAATGGGCAAAAAGGAAGACAAACACACTACTTGTGCTATGTCCTCACTCTGCCCAAGACACACCTACCCGAACCATGCCGTCTTGACTGCCTGTGACAACGACGTGGCTTGGGTCCCATGTTGGTCCCTCCACCATGCAGCAGCAGGTTATGGCTCCTTCCGGGCCCGAGGCTGTGGTGATGCTGGCCAGGGGTTGTCCATTCACATCCCACAGGGACAAGTGGGGACCTGCACAGGAGACGATGGTGCCCTGCAGCAGTGACAGCTGGAGTCACTAGTGATGCCTCCTTTGCCCCTTTCTCAGT